CATCAGGATTTCGGACACGATGGACGCCAGGTCCCGCCGGGCTGAGGGGGAGGGGCCACACCGGGAGCGGGCGGGGTCACCTGGCCACGCCCCTTCCCAAAAAAATCCCACAAAAAATGAAAAAATCCCACAAAAAATTGGAGTTTTTTAGGGTAAACCATGCCCATTTTAGCCCAAACCACGCCCACTTTATGCCAAACCATGCTCAATTTAACGATTTAGGGCGTGGTCACCTGGCCACGCCCCTTCCCCAAAAAATCGGAAAAAGAATGCAAAAAATCCCATTTTTAATAGGCAAGCCCCACCCATTATAGCACAAACCACGCTCATTTAAATTTAAACCACGCCCACTTTCAGGATTTGGGGCGTGGCCAGCTGGACATGCCCCTCCCCCCCAAAACATCCTGAAATTGCCAAAAAAATTGGGAAAAAAAATGGAAAAAAATACTAAAAAAATCCGTTTTTTTATGGGTAAGTCACGCCCATTTTTACCCAAACCTTGTCCATTTTAACTCAAGCCACGCCCATTTTAGTTTAAACCACGCCCATTTTGCGCATTTGGGAGGGGCCAGGCCCTGGCCACGCCCCTTCACCCCCCAAAAATAAAAATTTCCCCCAAACCCCCCAAAATGTGGGGAAAAAATCCCCCAAATTCCCTTCCCTTTTATGGGAAAACCACGCCCCTTATCCTCAAGCCACGCCCACTTTCAGCCTTATAAGGACAAAATTGCCTTGTTTTTTACCCTAAAATCCCCACTTTTCACCCAAAAATCACCGGGTTTTTTCCTCCCTGCCCCTCCCAGTTTATCCCAGTCCCTCCCAGTCCAATTTCTAACCCTTCAACTCCCATTTTTTACCCTAAAATCCCATTTTTCACCCCAAAACCCCCATTTTTAACCCTTAAACTCCCATTTCTGCCTCTAAAATCCCCATGTTTCACCTAAAACCCCCATTTTTACCCCAAAAAACACCGGATTTTTTATTACCAGTCCCTCCCAGTATAACCCAGTCCATCCCAGTCCAATTTTTAACCCTTCAACTCCCACTTTCCTTCTCTTTTAACCCTAAAAACCTCAATTTTTAACCTAAAAACTTCATTTTTTCACCTAAAAATCCCACTTTTTTCACCAAATATCCGTTTTTTTTCTCCCAGTATAACCCAATCCCTCCCAGTATAACTCAGTCCCATTTTTAACCCTTCAACTCCCATTTTTAGGCCATTTTTTGACCTAAAAATCCCATTTTTTCACCTAAAATCATCGGGTTTTTTCCTCCCAGTTTATCCCAGTCCATCCCAGTATAACCCAGTCCACTTTCAACTCCTAAATACCCATTTTTACCCCTACAATCCCCATTTTTTCACCTAAAAATCCCATTTTTTGCCCTAAAATCACCGGGTTTTTTGCTCCCAGTTTATCCCAGTCCCTCCCAGTATAACCCAGTCCCCTTTTAACTCGTAAATCCCCATTTTTCCCTCTAAAAACCCCATTTTTTACCATAAAATCCCCATTTTTCAACGTAAAAATCCCATTTTTCGCCCTAAAAACACCGGATTTTTTGCTCCCAGTATAACCCAGTAAAACCAGTACCCTTCTCGACCACGGCAGCCGCAGGGTCTGGTTCCTGGCCAAGCTGTAGGGGGCGCCCTCTCCTCATTTTTAACATTAAAAATCTCATTTTTACCATAAAAACACCGGGTTTTTTTTTCCTCCCAGTCCCTCCCAGTCCCTCCCAGTTTATACCAGTCCAACCCAGTCCCATTTTTAACCCTTAAATCCCCATTTTTCCCTCTAAAAACCCCATTTTTTAACATAAAATCCCCATTTTTTGACCTAAAATCCCCATTTTTTCACCAAAAATCACAGTTTTTTTTCCTCCCAGTCCCTCCCAGTATAAACCAGACCCTCCCAGTTTATCCCAGTACCCTTCTCGACGACGGCCAGCCGCAGGGTCTGGTTCCTGGCCAGGCTGTAGGTGTAGCCCTCGAAGGTGAGGTTGCGGCGCAGGCGGCAGACGTAAATCCCGGCGTGGGCGCGGCCGACGCGCTCCAAACGCACCGAGAGATCCTGCAGGTCCCGCGTGCCCCGCGAGCCGTTCCAGGCCAGCACCCCGAAAAATGGGCCTGGGGCCACCCACTGACCCTCCTCGGGGCTGTAGTGAAGGATCTGGGGTGGGAAACCAGTAACAACCAGTTACAACCAGTTAGAATGGAAAAAAATAGAAAAAAACCCCGTTAAAATCCGTTAAAACC